AGACACGCACAACACTTGCACAACTTCGCTCCGGCTACTGCAGCAGGTTGAACTCCTACCTGAGTAGGTTGAATGAGGATGTGCCGAATGAGTGTCCGGCATGCGGAGAGACCCCACATGACTCGAAACATCTCTTCGTCCCTTTGGACAAACCCCACAGAAGCTGCACGCTTCGTAGGGTTGCTGTTAGTGGAACTTGACGACAACGACTGAGATACCAACCGTCCTGGGCGGGGTTGTTGTAGCCGCTACAACAACAACAACAACCAAATTTTTCATTCGGTTCACGTGCCTGCTTTTTACTATTTAAAATACATATTTCTTTGCTGGGCATTCTTTTCCATTGTGTTGTTTTATTCTTTTCTTTGAGATCTATAATTTGCCGTTCGTGAGTACAGACGTGCATAGTGTTTTTTGCTCCGTTTAATCAGTAAATTTACGTGGTATTTCTCTAAAATAAAATACAAAGTTGATATCTTTCTGTTGCTGTTGAGTCGGCGGTTCACCTGAGTGAATTATAAGCAAATTTAATTCTAAGCTCTAGCGTTTCGCTTGAGTTTGTTACTGCCTTCGTTTGTTGTTTTTGGATTTACTAAGGTATGTCACCAGCTCCCCCTTCTGCACTTAAAAGGCGCTTAAGTAAAGGTTCCCCCTCGCCTAAAACATTGAAACTAGATGAGAGTGTCGCTGCTTTGCCCTCAATATTAACTGCGATTCGTGAACTTGAGGAGAAAATACAGTGTCAGACAGAGAAATTACAGAGGCTGCACTAGTTAAGAAGATAGACACAGAAGTCGCTGTGCTTACCTCCAAGGTGAATGGCTCTGCTGAGCGGATTACTGCCTTGGAGACAAAACACCAGAGGTGTGAAACCGAAGTTGAGAAGCTGCGCCTTATGGTTGAGAAAGTGGAAGCAGAGAAAATTGCTCCCGAAGTTGCTGCTGACGCGGTTGTTCTTGACATACCGTTTATCGAAGGAGGGAATTTAAAGAGCACGTCTAATTTGGTGTGCTTGTCCATTGATTTTCACGTTCCGCAAATAAGAGACATCTTCCGTATCAAGCGCATGAATAGTAACACTAGCAGCGTAGTGATCATCAAATTCTATACACCAACTGATCGCAACCGTACTCTCCGCGCTTTCAGCAACTACAGAAGGAGAACTAAATCTGCAGTCTCTCTATCTGTTGTTTGTATCGAAGGTACACTTTCTATATTTGAGAGTCTGGCTGCTGCTACAAGAAAGATACTGCAAGAGACTATACGGTTAAGAAGAGCTGGAAAATTGGTCTCCGTATTTACTCTGCGTGGTGCTGTGTATGCTAGAGTTAACAAAGGTTCTCCTGCTATAAAAATTTATAAGCAAAATGATTTGCAAAAATTCTGTTGACACGTTTTATTCATTCTCTTTTGTGCTCTGTTCGTGTACTCTTAGTTTAAGTATGTATATGTTTTCTTTAGCTTCCTTTGTAAACATGCGTCATCTTTTAATTATTTACTTGGTATTAGAATGCGTTTATTTTTGCTTTTGTTTTGTAGTTGCTCTTGTTTATATGCTTTATGGTAGCTTCTGAAGGGCTACCCAATAGCATTGGTGACAACAGCCTAGCTATGTTAAATATTTTTTGTAAGCAACAGAATGGGCTTAACATTGTCCATTTCAATGCCCGAAGTTTAAATAATATGAAAATGGACTATGTTAGATATGTGTTTGAGTCCTCCGCAGTTGATGTAATATGTGTATCTGTATGGCTGAGCTCAGGCCACCCGGGGCCACAGCGTGGCGGGCTGTGGACGACCTAACTTGTTAGGCTAGCCGCTAATAACCAATAAGCATCCCCCGACCAAGAGCGGCTAGAGTGGAGGGTTTGGCTGAAAAGGCCCACCCTAGGAAACTCCAGTGGCAGGGCGAGTACTCGCCGCCCTTTAAGTAAGCGTTCCCAAACCTTATCAGGGATTGCTCCGAGGGAGTACCTACCCCAGAGAGGGAGGCAACAGTGCAACGAGGGATCAACAAAATTAGTAAGATAAAAAGATAACTCTGGGCGAACGCCCATCAAGATCGAGACCAGTAAGATCTTGATTACGGTATACTGGAAAAACAATTCTGATGTATGACTCTTGGGCTGGTGAAAACAGTATTCTGTCACCTTAGTAAGTGAGGGTGACACCTCACTGAAACGGCTGGCAGGCTAATGCTGCAATCGCCTCCGTCTCGTTAAAACCCTGGCAGGTCTTCAAGTACGTTCGAAACACGTCGCCATTTAGTTGGCCGCACAGGTCCAGTTGAGATTTACTCCTGGTTTTGCGCTGTCCTTGGCTCTGAACACAATATCCCATAAGGAATTGTGACAACCCTCGCGATGGCCTGCTCTTTTGAGGAGGGAACTTCGGGGACACTCAAAGGCGACTGTGCTACGTGTGGAGATAGCGGCTTGAAGCGGAGACCCATAAGCAAATGAACACACCAAAACCACAACAAACACAAAAAGAACAACAACAAGCACACAGCGCTCTTATCCAAGAAGAGAATGTGAGCATATTCCGCAGAAGCAGCAGGACCTTGCGCTCGCCAGTCCTGCAAAGCACACCAACGTTGCAGGTAAAACAAGCAAAAGGAGTTACTAACGCCGTCCGGGCCCCAGAAGCAACGGACCTGGTCGACTTAGCACGCCCAGAAACAGAAGGCCCCAAAAACTCCAGACACGAGAAATACAATTCGCCAGCCGCACACCCGACAACGCCAGGTCCTATCTCTCCACGACAGGACTTTATTATCAAGATGAAACTCGCAGAAGAGGAGTCCTTGGAAAAATGCAAGAGCATCGTCCAAAATATCAAGCAAGCTATAGCGAAACAAAAGAATATCAGCCTCGAGGTCAAGAATGGAGCAGCCCAACTAGAAGAAATGTTCGACATCATCCAAAGCTACCGCAGGAACTGGAAAATGAAAGAAAAAGAGATCGGACGTGCTGCCCCGGCTAACCTGACAGACACCACGACACCATTGAAAAGGCGAGCGACAAGCCCACCAGAACAGCAGCCAACCCAGAAAGCGCGCAGAGAAAAGGACGGGGAATGGAAACAAGTGACGAACAAGAAGTTAAAGGCGAAGAAACCGGATGGGAAACGAAACACGCCAGGCAAACCAAAATCCCCGAACAAGGATGTGAGACAAAAGAAGGCAAACGAAAAGCGAAAAGGCCCCACTAAGCCTAAAAAGCTCTCCGAGGCGGTAGTGATTAAGCCGGCAGAAGGAAACAGCTACGCAGATGTCCTGAAAAATATACGCAGTAAGCTAAAATCAAGTGACGAAGTCAAGCTGAAGGGAATCCGGAAAACAAGGGCTGGAGCAGTACTACTGGAGCTAGAGAAGGGGCAAACGGCGAATCCAACCTTCTGCGAGGCATTAAAGAGCACCCTACGAGAGACCGCTACTGTAGCAGACCTTAAACCAAGGGCCACAGTTGAAATAAAAGACCTCGATTCCTTAACGACAAAAGAAGAAGTCGAAGACTCAGTAAGGAGTATGCTGCAAGGATACGACAAAGCTATGAAGATCAACATCTCCGTTCCCAACAGTAGAGAACAAGTGAGGGCATTCGTAACGCTCGATGAAGAAAAAGCAGAGATAATAATAAAGCAAGCAAGGATCAAAATCGGCTGTATAAACTGCAGAGTGCGACTCAAAGAAAACTGCAAGAGGTGCTTTCGATGTTTTGGCCCCGGCCATCTAATCGGGGGCTGCAAAGGCCCGGACAGAAGAGGGCAAGGCCTCTGTATAAAATGCGGCCAACCAGGCCATAAGCTAAAAGAGTGCAACAAGCCACCAAAATGCTGTCTGTGCTCGGAAGCCAAATACACTGAGCTGGATCACATCCCAAGCTCCATAAGATGCTTAGTATATAGAAACTGGTGCCAGAAATGAATGTCCTGCAAGCTAACATGCACAGAAGTAAAACGGCTGACGCGCTACTGACACAGATGATCACTGAGCGGCATTATGACCTTGTAATCATAAGCGAACAGTATAAGAAAAAAGAAAACGGGATCTGGATAGAAGACAGCAGTGGTACCGCTGCTATATGGGTACCTCCCGGAAGCAGCATGCACATCTCGGAAAAGGGATATGGACACGGCTACGTCTGGGCCAGACACAACCATATAAAAATAATAAGCTGCTATCTGACACCAAGCGACAGCATACAAGACTTCCAAGATAAACTCGACGACATCGAAGATACGGCCATGAACTTGGAAGGACCCTTTCTGATGGCAGGAGACCTAAACTCAAGAGCCACGGAGTGGGGAATGCCAAACACGGACTCCAGAGGCAAACGCGTGCTAGAAATGTCAGCCCGACTCGGACTTATAGTGCTCAATACTGGCGCAGCAACAACCTTCCGAAGACCAGGATGCGAGGAAACCACGCCAGACATTACATTAGCATCAGAAGGCATAGCAGGCACCATAAAGGAATGGAAAGTATTGGAAGACTACACTGGTAGCGATCACCAATATATCTCCTTTATAATAGACTCCACAAACGATGGTTTACGAACGAAGATAGCACTCGCAAATGGAATGTCTCGAAATTAAATAGGAAAGCACTACTATCTGAACTAGATGCGCATGGCTCAGAAGATTCATCTTACAAGAACGCAATGGAAACAGTAGAGATTACAATGAAAATGATCTCCAGCGCCTGTAACAAAGCGATGCCAAAAACCGGAAGCAATCGCCACAAAAGACCTGCATATTGGTGGACGGAAAACATAGCTCAACTCAGACGAACGTGCCTCCACCTGAGGCGTACTTACACCAGGGCCAGGCGTAGGAGCGCTGCAATCGAAGAGGCACAACTATACCAGGCTGCCAGAAAAGAACTCAAACGAGCAATCGAGGCCAGCAAGCACAGAAAGTGGGAAGAACTGCGTGAAGATATAAACAGAAATCCCTGGGGTCTCGGATATAAGGTGGTAATGAAAAAACTTGGGGCCATGGCAAAACCACCAGAGCTTAGCGCTCAAAAAATGGACCATATAGTAAGTGAACTCTTTCCCACGCATGACGCGTTAACCAAAGAAGCTGAGCCTATCATCGTTCCTCAAGAAGCACCACTATTCAACGCAGAAGAGCTCAAGGCTGCCACAAATAAAATAAAGGCCAAGAAAGCTCCAGGCCCAGACGGCATTCCAGGAATAGAAGCAGCTATCGCCAGCGGCGGCGGACTTTCCTCAAGACAGTACGGGTTCAGGCCCAGGAGATCTACAATTGGAGCTATAAAACATGTAACAACAACAGTGGAAGCCGCATACCAACACAAAAAGCTAGTCCTGCTTGCAACCTTAGACGTTCGCAACGCCTTCAACACCGCAAAATGGGAAAATATGATACACGCACTAGAAGAAGTCTACAACATACCCACGTACCTTAGACTCATGGTTAGAAGCTACCTATAAGGCCGGGAGTTATTATACCATACCACCGATGGACCCCGGCAAATGACGATCACGTCGGGCGCAGCACAAGGCTTCATTCTTGGGCCAGACCTATGGAACATCAGCTACGATGGAATATTAAACCTTGAGATGCCTGATGACACATACTTAGTAGGCTACGCTGACGACATTGCCGCAGTGATCACCGCACGAGACACCGAAGATGCTCGCCGCAAATTAAATCAGACTATGATAAGAACACAGGCATGGCTCGACTCACACGGTCTTAAACTTGCAGCAGAGAAAACCGAGCTAATACTCCTAACTAAGAAGCATATTCCCTTAGAAGTGAGCATGAAACTGACCGGCATTACATTAAAGACACAAAGAGTAATAAAGTACTTAGGTGTAAGGCTAGACCCCAGGCTAACGTATTGGGCACAAATGCAGCACGCAGCCGCAAAAGCAGCAAAGGCAACGGCTTATCTAAGCAGATTAATGGCCAATATTGGTGGACCGACCCAAAGTAAAAGAAAACTTCTAATGTCCACAACCTTGAATATTTTGCTATACGGAGCGGAGATCTGGGCTGACACCCTACAGAAAAATAACCGTTGCAAGATACTCTCCAGAGCCCATCGCACTGCAGCTTTAAGAGTAGCCTCTGCGTACCGTACAGTGTCCGGCGAGGCAATACTCGTGATAAGCGGAACGGTTCCCATTGATCTACTAGCAGCCGAGCGCAAGAAAATGTGGGAGCTTAAGGCGCAAACGAAACCAAGTGACATCAAAAGGGAAAGAGTAAGAAACGAGACACTAAGACTATGGCAAGATAGGTGGCAAAACGAAAGCCGTGGCCGATGGACGGCTAGGCTAATAAAAGACCTAA